AATGCCAATGCCAATGTCACAGCATTCATCATCTCTTGCACGAGATAACCTACATCTAGCAATAAGAATGATATCATCATGAAGCACAAAATAGATTTCTGGACAGAAATAATCAAAATTGTCCATTCATTATGTAATTAAACCAATGTAATTATAAGACACAAAGTAACTGGAAAACAGCCCCAACAGCTCGACAACGAGCACAAATTCCAATCAAAAAACCCAACAATAGAGAGCTAAACAAGCTCGAATCATGTGTAACTGGAAAAACAGCCCCAAAGCTCGACAACGAGCACCAATTCGAACCAAAAACGAGAGCTAAACAAGCTCGAATCATATGTGTAACCGGAAAAACAGCCCCAAAGCTCGACAACGAGCACCAATTCAAACCAAAAAACCTAACATTTTGCCATTGCTCAGTAGTGAAATGACCTCCATTGTTCTTTCCTTTAAGGACCATTTCCTTCAATATTCCCAACAAACAATTATCTTCAATAATAGTCCAGTTTCTGGCTCGATGTCTTGACTACCCACCTTCAGGTTGAGATTGTGATATGAAGTTCTTCTTAGCCATTCTAGATCATTAATGAGAATTTAAAAAGAAGTTAATCATTTTAACAATAAACTAATCAATTATAATATATTAGAACTTCTTAAACAACATGCTATGGTTTGATATTGAGTTGGCAGTCCAAAGAAATACAAACTCAAACTATAAACCCAGTACGAGTAATATTATATGACATATGGACATAATTTAATTTAGCTTGTAAGATTTTTTTCCCCTTGCAATGAAAAGCTACTTTTTAACGAAAATGTATAAGTCAAAAACTAAGACGTTAATTTAGCACATTAGAAGAAAATGACATCCCACACAATGAGCCCCAAACAAAGGGAGGCAATATTCACAAGATCACACGTACCCTATATCTTTATCCCTCTTTGAGTCAAGAACAAGTTCATTGTCAAAGCTCAAAAAAAAGTTTTTATTCCTAATCAGACTCATCTTAGCATAACAACAAAGCCAGTAAATTAAAGGGAGGCATGCTACAATTTTAACCTTTTTCTTAAAAACATATCCAAGTTCCCTCAGTTAAGCGTCTATTGTCAGCACTAATAATGTCTACAATATTAAATGTAAGAAATTGTAATGATCGCAAAAAACATAATTAAATAAGGCACAACAATTTAGGGTATAGTTTTGAAAGATTTACAGTTCAGGGTACTAAATCCTGAAACAGATGATATTTTCATACTTCTATGTATTAAAGTGAAAATAACCCCAAAATAAAAAATCGGCCCAAGTTATCATGTTTAGAAATCAGAGCTTATTTAAGACAGATACGTGCCTATCAATAGCTACAACATATGACTAGAGCTGTAAGAACCCAATTCGAGCAAAATGAATTTACATGTGAATGAGCAGAATGATGACAAATATCATCACCCAAAATAATACTTTAGACAACAGATGGACGAAACAAAAAGAGAGCACAGAGACTGGTTTCTTTGGAAAAGTTCTGAGCTCATATGCTGATGGGGGCAAAAGGACAACAAATATTACAGAAAACTCGAATGAATTCTAAGGCTTCAATCAACTGGGAACCGTAGGATAATTGAAGATAAGGAAACAAGTGTAGACTAAGAGACTGTATGAGAATGATATTAACCAGAAATATAAATAAATGTGCACGAGAGAAGAGAGGAGAAGGAAAGAAGCAACAAGTTTGTCTCATTAAAGTAAGCATATCTCAAACTTTTTACATATTAGCGAGCCATGTGTTAAACGTCAGTCATGACTTAAAACATCAGCGAAGTAAAAAAGAGTCCGCGTGTTATTTGACTATGAACTCAAGATCGACAAGGACTAATGGGGATTCAAAAAAAGGTACTTCCACAAAACTCCCCAGAACTCTGTAAATTTCATACTAACCTCCGGACTTTGGGGAGTTTCACAGAACCATCTAAAATTTTGAAAATTCTCATTAAAGAGTACGACTTAACAATAAATGTCCTTAACCAACAAAGTCATGCAAATATTTCCTATAGCATTAACAGTAAGTAGCAATCAAACATGTCGCCTTACTCTTTTAACTCCCCGTTAGTGATTATTTCCCGAAATTCGAAGGCGCTTGGTAAAACTCACCGAAGGTTCAGGTTTTTCTAGATTTACAAGGTTTCGGGAGTTACGTGCAAATCTTCAAAATTCAGGGGGCTTTGTCAAATTTATCCGAAGAGAAATCTGTAGCATAGATCAAATAATGAGCCTAGTACAAAGGAAAATTGTCTTGATAAGAAACCATGCTTGAGCAATAATTTATTCTCTTCCAACACTTAGGCTGGGAAATTTCTGCGGTACATAAGTCTGCTCCCTGGTAGATTCCGTCATATATTATGCTTCCGAAGCTAAATAACCATGGCAACAATATTAGTAAGAATAAATTTTCACTGTAGACCCAAATGAGATTTTAATTACCAAAATCGACTGTTTTTTTTTAATTACCAAAATCGACCCGTTTTATGCCACGTAGGATTAATCATGTTTCCTAATTAGTCAGGGTTACCAACTCCGACTGTTTAGGAGTTGTTAAACCACAACTAATTAGGTTTTAAAGCTTCTAATTGGGGTTTAACAATTCCTAAATAGTCGGGATTGCCAACCCCGACTAATTAGGAAACAGGATTAATCCTACGTGGCATAAAACGGGTCGATTTTGGTAATTAAAAAAAAACAGTCGATTTTGGTAATTAAAATCTCATTTGGGTCTACAGTGAAAATTTATTCATATTAGTAACAATAACAAAGTCTCTATTCCAAATGTTCACTATTCCAAATGTTCAGGAAACTATAAAAGGAGGGACATAATCTGTCGGCATGCAAGCTGCCAGAAGTACACCTACTTGATAAAAAACATCATTACTGTTATGATGTATGATAATGATACCGTAAACAATATACTCATTCTCAGCGAACTGAATCTGGTTTTGTGCTGAACAGCCAACAAACTTTATTCATTGGGACACCACACATGATTTCAAAACCAAGTATACTCATGCTATAACGTCACAAGACGCACTTACATTAAAACGGTAAGAGACTGTGTATTCTAGAAACCCTGGCTATTGCCAACTGCAACTATACATATTATATCTTTCAAATACACTGAATTATCATGTGAAATATATTATTCCAAAAACCAAAACAGAAGGGAAACTGTAAGGGAACTTCAATATTTATGCACAAGACAGGTATATAGTTAGATTTACACATCATATCGTCATTGGAAGAATTTTCTGGCTGGTAACATGTGGCTTAATCTCCCATGATGCCAACTCTTGAGCTTCTTCTGGCAGGATAAATGGCAGCGAGATCTCTCGGATCATCAAGTCTCCACAGAACGGGCATTCACTTGCTATAGCATCATCAAATTGCGATCGCAACTGTGCAAAAAGTGAATTGTGTGTTAGCCTGTACTCCATTCAAGAGAAGGATATAGGTGCCAACATAGTAGAGATTATAATGGATTGGGTTAATTGCATATTAGTCCCTTAAATCATCCATAATTGCAAATTAGTCTCTCAAATCTCAGTGCTTACTCATTGGTCCCTCAAACCTATTAAGGTTCTTCCAATTTTGTCCCTCTAATTAACATATGTTAATTTTGAAGGGAATATTCCCTCAACTACCTACCCTTTTCTTTACAGGTTTAAACCCCACAACCCAGTTAGCCTGAAACCCAAACCCAACAGCTTCATCTTCCCCAACAATCATATTACTCTGTGAAACCTCATTATTCTGAGGCATTTTCATCAAACAGAAATGGGAAAGTGCACTCGGTAAAAACCCTTTTTAGAACTATCCATCTCATCACAAGCACTAAAAACCCAATCAAACCATTTCTCGCATACAGATCTTTATCAAATCCACATTTCACATAGGGATAAGAATCTGCAAACCTTACTCATCAAATAACCCTTGCAACAGGCTTGAAGAACAAATGAGAAAGTGTAATTATTAGTGAGTATTCCAACTCCACGTTTGTGGACATAAAAGTGCTGCTTTGGTTAAGGTTTGGGGTTTGGCAAGGCATCGATGAGATTGTTGCAGGAAAAGGCATTGGGTCCGTT